AGGGAATTGTAACTATATAGTGGGTCACACCCAGTGTGATGAATTTAACTGTTATTGTTTCTAAAAGAGATTGTCCACTTGGCTTCATCCCCCCCCCCTTTTTTTTTTTAGTTTTGTTTTTGTTTTCTAAGAAACTCCAGCAACTTTGGAAAAATCTGCAAAACAAAAGAATTCTGAGTGTTTTGAACATGCAAACAAGTAGCAGTTTAAAGCCTTTTTTTTCCAAATACCCCAGTAACCTTGATGTAATTTTGTATACTTCACAGTTTGCCTAGAATAAACAGTGCAGGGAAAGAAGTGTATTGGAAAGCAGAATCTGGTCCAGCAAGTTCTCCTGTAGCGTAGGTAGGTGAAATGTTCATGGCCGGCCAAACCCTGAGCTCCGCACAGAATAACCCACTCCATAAGGGTGCCAGAATCCTGGATCCAGACCATTTGCTAATTGTATTGTTTGTGTAAAAGACAGACCATTCCTCCTGAGCAAACAGCAAAACGTGATTGTTTCTTAACTGTACAGTGATTGGGGCCACGTGTTGCATACTGTTGATTTTTTTTCCTCTGAAGAGAGAATTGTTACACTGCTTCTTCAGCTTTAATATGGCCATTGGAATAATATGGGAACTGTTCTGCTTGTCTACCTTTATAGCAGCTTTGGGAATTAAAGTATTGAGTCATCTGAATTTTCCATAGGGAACTTCCACCTAGGAAGAGTAACTTAGTCATTAATTTAATGAATTTCGAATGACTAGTTTGAGACAATAGCTTTCAAACTATTACACAGCACTGTCCTGGTTCAAAGCATAGCTTTGAACTTTAGGCACACAAATCCTGTATTTAAAACATATGGGCCCAAATTGCAGAAGTCATGAACCCCAACTATGAGAAATGCAGTATCAATGCCTACCAGTGAAAAACACAGGTCATTTACCATTGCATTTCAAAAACATTCTATGACAAAGACATGAATAAATCATACTGCTCCAGGGAATAAGTTAAGTGCTTTAAATCTCATTTCTCTTCCTTCAACTCCTACTTTCCAGTTGCTGAAACAAATGATATGTGGTTCTTGGAAAACATCCTTTTAGTAAACTACTTGAATCTGTTCCCTTTATTGCATGGTCTTAGTTCAACCCCAGATTATCATATTTATTATTATTATTATTGTAAGCATGTAGGAGCTCTACTTACAGACAAAAACGTTACTGTCTCAGACACTAAGCAAAGAGAGAAAAAAGATCCCCATGACAGATAACTTACAATCTAAGCCTAAGACAAGAAACAACTGGCTATAGTGCCGGGGGAGTTCAAGAAAACTGCACAGGTCAGCGAGATAAACCCTAATCTCAGCTCAGCAGCAGCTAGGCTGCTGTCAAATTTTGGTGGGCACCACTGCAAGGAATATTTGAGGAAGGATTTGAAGACAAAGTTACTCCAGTGTTTGCATGTTTGTGTGAATTTCTCCATGCTGTGGAGTCAATGTGGAGACAGGCATGGAATAATGGATTAACAACACAGGTTTGTACTGTGACTGAACAGAAGTTCATCCTCACAGTAGCATCAACAAGGCCAGGTGACATGAATGCAGTCTACTATTTGGCTATGCCTGCTCATCTACAACCATTTGTTGGAGGTACAGTTTAGGAAAAAAATAAGTATGTTTTTTATAACTTGGTGAAATGGAAGCCACATTTACTTCAGCACCCTTTAAACAGTAAAGAAAAAAAAAACACAAACAAGAAACTTAGCGCACCCTGGATTCCTGCCACAATGCCACTGCTTAGCCTGGAGGATGAAAACCCAGAATTTGCTCACATTTTATTTACATAACATTGCATAACAAAAAGGAGCTGAAGGAAGATTGAGGCAGGATGAAAATAAAAAAAAACCTGCAATCAGTCAAGTACACGTCACTGCCTCAAATGTGTACTGATGGGGAGAAATGGTCAGTGATACTTCGCTTAGTCAGGCTCATTATGCCTCTAAGTTACTGAGGTGGACAACCCCAATCAGCTAGAGGGCTCAGCAACTGGCTTCCTTAAACTATGGGAAATGTCAGGCAACCTTAATAATAGGCTTTGCTACCTGTCTCTCCTGTAATTATATTATTATTATTATAAGCATCATAAAGCTGAGGATGAAAGTGTTGACTAGGATTAGCATTTATCTAGAACTGCCATTAATCTGCATATATGTGAAATTTTCTTATCTGAAAGATGTCTGCCTTCATTAGGACTGAAGTTGTTTGATACATTGTATGCCAGTGAAAGGACTAGGTCTTAGCTGTGTGGCAGAGCCATCATAGCAGCAGTTTGTGATGATGACTTTTCACACAAATACACAACAGGACAGAACATGCCCTCCTAAAATAAAACTCACCTGCAGAGATTAAGCAAAATGAAATCACTGAGGAATTTGTCCCATATTATTTCTCCCACAGAATTTTGCCCTTAGTGTTTCATGGGGGATATACGGTTACCCCTCTACAAGGAAGATTCTTGAGGAACTGTCCCAGACGTGGTCACCAGGAGTGCATGCAGAACCCAAGAAACCACCGTGCTTGAGACCAGCCACATGGAGCCCATATGCTCTGGTCAGACCTGATGCTTGCTCGAGGCAGCTCTGTCGGAGCCACACAACCAGGAACTCCCTGCATTTGTGATGATGCCATATCTGATCCCTTCCTTCCTGGATATAAATAGTTTCATTCTGAAGAACAGCCAGTGAGATATTTATCATAATTTCATGTTGCTATTTTAAAAAAATAGATACACAGTTTGTCATGCACAACTTCCAACAGGAAATATTTTCTGTTTGTGACAACATAGTTCTTACTGACTGATACATAATTCATACCCTGTTTAGCATGTGTTTTTTGATGGTCATCCAATTTAATATGGACTGTTTAAAAATACCAGTTTGGTAATTATGAGGTACTAGAAGCATTTTGATTATTTTCTTTCTCATTATTTCATTGATTATCAGTAATTGACTAGTGAATTCAGAGACTATTTCAACTAGCAATGCTACTTTTTAGCCTGTGGATAGACTTGTTTCTTTTAATATTTAACTTTTTATGAAGGAAAAAGTCTATCAGAATAATTTGGCTTATTCATTTTTTTTGGTTTAGTTATACTGATGGTAATTATGAGTCAATTTATGCACATTACACCTTCAATTATTGGCATTTGCTGAACATATAAATACATAAATATGTAAATAAATTGCTTTCTTTTTTGATTCTGTAAATTTATTTTATCATACTTCCCAAAGAGATTTAAGGGGTAAGTAAGATATCCTTCTGTGTGTATTTTCAGTGGTTTTCATTATAATATATTTGGTCCATAATCAGAAGTGTTAGTAGGTCACGTGGAATACACATCAAAATAGATGGAAGGAGTTATAACCTCCTCACAGGATGACAGAAGCTATTCACATGTATCAAGAGATTCATGTATCCTGCATGGCAGCAGAGCTACCTCTAAAGCTTTATGCAAAAAAATTCCACAACACTGTTGAAGCACACTAGTAATAGCCCACGCAGCTACAGAAGTGTACTGGCTTTGGTCTTTCCTGTTAAGCAGGAATACTTTTGCATCCATTCCCATGCACTTCCTAACTTCCCCATAATCTACTAATATCCTTCTACCAGTTTTAAAAAAACAGTCATGATGATGAATGTTTCTAAGTGTGGCTTAGTTACTTGTCACAAATTTTGGGATAAGCCATCATCTACTTTGCATTTCCATAAAGTTTACTGATGATAAATGGAAGAACCCAACCCACATCCTTAACCTAATCCAGCCAAATGACCTACAAGTAACTAAAATCTGAGAGTGAGGCAGTGGGAATGCATGCTGTTCTGGAGTCAAATCCAGGATCTTATTTTAAGCCACAAGAAAGAGCCATGTTTATTATATAGAATTTCTTAAGAAAGGCATCTTGTACTTCACTAGAATATAATGTGACATGTTACTAAGTGCCAGTAATTGGTGTAGTTTTGTTAAAATATACAGTATAAGTCATTCTGTTGAGTAAATGGTAAATGAAATTCATACTTTACAAAACCACAGCTTGCTTCCAGCTTGTATCTTTCAAAAATAAACATGATTGCTGAACAATAAGTTACAGAGAACAAAATACACATTCCTGCTCTCCCATGCTATCACAGTGCATGTCATAGACAAATTTAAGATGCACAAGAAATACAGCCTAGAATCACTGTGGAGTCTTCAAAGCCATTCCCTGACACATTCATGAAAGGAACTTAATGTACGTGAAAAATTGGCTTTTAATAGCTCATTTGAAATTTTTTACTTCATCCTCTGCTGATGTCAGATACTATGATGTCACAGCAGCTGATGGTGCTAATGATTGATACCATACAGAAAAACCTTTTGCTTAAACTAAGGTTAAGTGTAGGAAAGAAAAAAAATTTCTCTTTTTATGCAAATAATTGCACTGTAGTGTGCACATACAATTTCTGCCTACGTTTTGACTCACTTGCTGGTATATTGCTTTCATTGTAACATTACACACAATAGAAATCAAACCATACTTTCCTACTTTAGTTGTAGATTTACTATAGTATTACAGAATTGTTTATACGTAAACACACACTGAAAAGCTACATGTGGTATCTGTCTTGCATGAAGTCTATGTTATTACAGGCTTCCACTATAAAAACTGAGTTTTTGTAACAAAAAATTATTACACAAAATGTTATGCAGAAGTTAAGCTTTTTAGAAATACTATCACTCAAGCTTTTAAGTAAAGTGCAACAGCTCTTTAGAGACTAGTCCAGAAGCCATTTCACCCTGAAGTTGTATTTACCAAGATCTCTTCAGCAGCCAATTGTTTCACTTTGTTTTGGCTATGCAAGAAAAGAAATGCTCCAAACATATGAAACAGTCTTTTTTATGTGTTGTGTACGTTTACGGAAATCTTAGTAGTTAATAAAAATTATGAAAAATAATAGATTAAATTCACAGTTTCATACTCAAAATCTGAGAGTTTAATTTTATTTCAAAACATTTTGTGAATTGTACAGATGAGAGCTATATGTAACAACTTTTATAAGAAGCTACATAGTTATATTAGTTGAATATTTTCTTTTGAATAGTTGGCAGCATCACTTTCTTCTGAGAATTTAGGGGCACTTCTTGGAGATGCATGGATAGAGAAAAAGGAGGAAAGAGACAATATCTGAAAAACAGTCCTTACTCATTTGCAATGTAGATAACTTTGTGCTTCTCAATTACATCTATGTCATGCTCCAGTTGTTTCATCTGTATTTCCAGCTTTTCTTTATTTAACTTCTTGGGAATGGTGTCCATTTCTACTGGAAGACTCTGAAATTCACGATGCACTTCCTCCCAGTTCTTTTTCAGCCCCTAGTGCCATTAAATGAAAAGGAAATATATGAAAATGCAACAAGAATTATCTTAAAAACTGCACTACAGAAACCACTTCCCTGTAAACAGCAACCTGGCTACCACAGATATCGCCACATCACACAGAGTGGTGTTAACTACTTTAAGTAATCACAAATAGCACCAATACTTGGAACTCCAGCCAAAATTCAATGGCAGTTTCAGTTCATCTCACCACCAGCTTCATTTTCCATAACTGAGACTTTGCTGAGATCATGGACACCAAACTGATCCCACAGTATTTTAACTTCAATGAAATACTTTGCAAAAATTCTAAATAATTGCATTTCCTAATCTACATTTATGATAACATCTATGGGCAGCTTATTTAACATTTGAAGTGAAACCCCTCGCTGTCACTGATGCTATCAACAATAATTTCAATAACTGTTAGCTTTCCTGAATGCTGCTATGCAAAGAATCACCTTACTAGATAAAGTGAACTGTATCTTCCATATATAAACCCCCAAGACTAAAGGCCTGCTTTAAAAAAAATATCATGCAGAGACAAACTTTTATCTGCCAACATATGCTGAATGGAACCAGGCTGTGGTAGAAAAATTAAATGTAAAACATGTCTTTATATCCTCACAATTACTGCAACAATCGTTCTTACTTTATCTCCTCAAAAGGATATTAAAAATCTACACATCCTATACATGCATATACGAGGATTTAGTAGAGTTTATTCAGTGCATCAAATGTCCTTTTGAGAACTATGGGTGAACTTATCAATCACACCTACTACAAGGGACTCATACAGCAATTGCTAAATAATACAGTATGACTAGCAATGAAAAAACATTTTTCCAAAGCATTTTTGGCTGTCAGTTCTATTTCCTTAGTGGAGATCTTAGGAACCATTCAGTCCCCAAGAGAACTGAAGTTACTCTCCTGGGAACTGCAGCTTTCAACTTTCCTCTATAACTAAAATGAGATTCAGCTGACACATTGATTTTATGGCATGTTGTGATTTCCAACCTCATATCCTTCTTCTCCATTGTCATCAAGCACCTCTTTTCCCAGACTGGCTAATTGATTAACATTCTGAAGTTAAATTTAGAGGAATTATTCTTAATACTTATTTAGCTTTGAAGATTGTTGCTTTTATTTAGAACTCACTTAAAAACTTGTCTGATTTTGTCCACTGTATGAACTGATTTAACAGAAAAAAAAAGACCTCTCCTTGTCAATAATAAGAAAAACACTTTTAAATATGAACTAATATTCAAAGCAGTGTATTTATTGCACAGCAGTTTGTGTTTTTTGCATATTTGTATTAAGCATCTAAGTGTTGTCCATAAAGGTATTCCAACAGTACTCACGTACAAATATCTACATAAGTTTAAAACCCCTACTTCAACATGTGAAACTTAGAGCAACAAGGCTATTTATGTACTTCCTTGCAATGCTACTTGTCTCTGCAATACAATGTTGTAAATTACTTAAAGTAAATCTCCTAGTCTACAAGGCATCAGGTATAGTTTATGAATACACGGTCATGAAAATAAATACTGTATTTCCAAAACTTTCATGGAAGAGTCATTTATAGCTTCTTTTAAATAACTGGTCTTTGTGTACATTAGTAAAACTAGTTTGGAAATCACTGAAAAATGTGAATTTTTAAACACATGGGAGCATGCACTCATCACAATTTACTCTGCCCCTACAGAGTGGGGAGATCAAAATCAGATTGTAACTCCCTCTATAAAAATCTCCCTCAGAGGTCCTCTAACAGCAATGTAATATGCTGACCACTATTGCTATGGGCTAGATCACAAACTGAATATCTAACTCTATATAAGGAATTCTTATACATGCTGGATCAGTGAGAAGTATGTACTGCATTTATCAACATTCTCTTTTATGCTCCCAGCCAAAGTAAGTGTAATGGAGAGTTCAACAGATGTTGGCACAAATTATTCCCCTTTATTTTTATAAGTTCATGAAGCTTGATTTTATTCTCAAACATCTATTGCCACATATTCTTTCAAATCAGATAGAGCACATGTGTTCACTAACAATGTCAATTATTTTAAAAGAGAGGAATTCCCATCTGTCTACAGCTGAGCACTGGGTAGAAGCCATATACCCTGGGGGCACTAATTCCTCCTGACAATATAACTGTATAACTAATCTGGCCCATGAAAGAGCAATCATTTTTGAAAAATTTAAAAGAAAATACTGAGTTAATGAAAAAAAAACCCCAACCTTTTAAATTAAAAAATATTTCAGTGCACTCCTGTATTTTAAAAATATAGAACATATTTTTAATCAAACTAAATGCAGAATTGTGAGCAGCTGAACTCACATGCCTTTTTGCACATGTATTTTTGCTGCATAGTTAACTTGTTGGACCATCAGTTTGTCCCATGCCTTTCCCCCCATAAAAATATCTTGATCTTCACCCTTCCTATCTACTGGAATTGAACTCCTTGTAAAACTGGACTAGAACTAGCTGTTATCAGCTCTGTTCTGTTCAGTTTACAACTATTCTATAGCTCCATCTAGCGAAAAAGTAGCTAATTAAAATCTAGTATACTATCATTTATATGGACTTACATTACATTGTTTAATCTCTTTATAGATGTTACAAATTACACTAAATCAAAATATGCACCTGCAGGAGAGTTTTCCTTTCTTCATCAGTTAACCGTTTCATGGCTTTTTTCCTGAGATTCTCCAAGATACTGGTCTCATATTCTTTCTGAGCTCTCTCCCTTTCTTCATTTCTCCGTGTTACATATTTTGGTATAACACCATAATCCTATAACGGTAAGGAAGAATTTTCTTATATATGCTTCTAAGAAGGAAACAAAGACATACCTGCCATCCATAGTACATTACATTTGCAAAGACAGCTTGAAATGGAATTTTGTGTGACAGAGAAATAAAATCTCACGTTGTTATTTTCTTTGAAGTATCAAAAAAGATTGTAGCCCAGGCAAAATGCATAAACAATTCCCTTCATTTTCTTTTTACAACCTTGGAAGACAACAGGACACAGGAACCAAAATGTCTATTCAGAAGAACTGATGGTTGAGTGTGGAGTTTGGAACCTGTTAATGACAGCAAGCTATTTTACATTTTTATATGGTGCCAGATCCTACATTCTGAAACACATTCCTTACTTTCTTTGAAAGCCCTTCCTGCGTTCTGATTTTTGCTGAACATTGTATGCCGCAGAAGAGAGTGAATAGTGTTAACACATAAAGGAAATTGGACCAGATACAGATGACAAACTATCCCGTACTGGATGTAGCAGAATTGTGATTCTGGGAGAAAAAATAATTTCTGAATATCCCAGATGTATTTGGGGGAACACATTTATTTTGCCTTTTCCTTTGTAAAATGAAGCCTGCCTAGCTCTGCCAGAAGGTACTGGAGTCTACCTTCTTTCTACCAAATGCTAAATGATCGCAAATCTTTTAGTGTTGGGCAGCGCCATGACTAGCATTGTTTATGTGTATATTTAGCCATGCAAAAGTACTGCAAGGGCTGCCAGTTCACTTTTTTTTTACCTTTGCTGTCATGAGTTGCGTCATGTGTCATGTCTCTTTTTGCATAGCGCTCTGTCATGAGTTATCTCTTTAGATTAGCCAAACTCCTGATACATCTTGTTTTTCTGAGTAGTGGAATTGACTGGTTTTGTGCTTGGAGGAGCTGGTCCTTAAAGGCAGCCTAGCTCTCCAAACCTCCTCTGCTTTCCATAGCTGTCTCCTACGGGGTCCTACCTACTAGCTTCCTGAATAAAATGACGTTACCTCTCCTGAAGTACAGGATCTGTACACCACCTCCTGCCTCCCTGAGGAGGAGGGGATCTTGAAGTACTTTATTGCCTGTGCAACCAAGACTAATACTGATTATCACATCTCTAACCAGTTCTTACTCATTTTTAAGTAGTAGAACCAGAAAAGCATGACCACTGGTTGGCTCATCCACCATCTTTGTTAAAAAGCTGTTGCTGACATGTTTCAGGAGCCTATTTGGATTGCTTTCATCCCATTGTGCTGCTCTTTCAGCAGATACCAAGGAGGACAAAGTCTTCCACAAGAAGCTGCACTGTGATCTGAATATTTCCTCAAGTTGTTCACCTGATTGGGTAGTCCATAACAAATAGACTTTTGACACTTACTGGACTTTGCTTTGATCCTGACCCACAAGCTCAACCAGCCTGTTGCCAGTTCCACAGAAGACCTCTGTATATATGAACAGCTCCTTTATCCAAAGGGCAACCCTACCTCTTCGTCCCTGCCCATCTTTCCTAAAGACCACATATTCACTCATCACAGAACTCCATTTGTCTGCCCATTAGATACTCCCTGGGTTCCCAATGCAACACATATGCTACTGCTTTAATAGCACCATTCTGCCAGTGTTTTGCTGACAGCATAAGCGAGTGAATAAAGAGCAAGGCAAGACCCAACTCTAGTGCCAGTGATTTCTCCTTGATGAATTTCAGGTGTCTACCACAAATAGCAGTGGTATCTAAACATCTCAGAAAGAATCATAAACATTCCATAGGAGAATGCAATAGAAAAACTAAAACAGGCATTGCTACTAGTATTTCCACTATAATTTAATACAGCTTACCTTTTTCTTAACATATTTTGGAAGAAGTCCTGAAGTTTCAAGTAGGTATTTATCTCCCTGTCTTCTATCAACACAAATAGGTTGAGGCTTTTTAGGCAGCCCTGTGATAACAGCAACTGCATTTGTATTTATAAAATTCTTTTTACTCTGAATTCCCATAACTGGGCGATCTGTCCTCCGTGGCACTGATAATTCAGGCAATTTCTCAGGATCCTGTTCTTTTTTTCCTGTGAATTGAGCATGTAAACATTCTCAGCGATAGCCATGACAATTTTTCAAAAGGGAAAAATGTACAAGATTACATACAAAATAGAAATCAACTGTATCAACAATTTAAGAACTGGCTAGGAATGTACTATAATAAAAATGAGTATGATTGTTTGGCGTAACAGAAACTTTATAATCTAAGAAATGCTATGTTGCTTTAGATGGGTTTTCCTTACAATACGCCACTCATTTCCTCTTAACTGCAGCAGTATGGGACTTTTTTTCAATTAAAACTACTTTTATCAGAATTGCTCATTGTTAACTAATGCCCTTAGACATTAATGGCTCTGCCCAGTCTCATCTGGGGCATTTACCCCACACCCTACGGCTCAGAAACCCTGTTTCAGGTCAGCTCTGTGCTGTCAGTGCCTGGCTGAGCTGTCTCAGCCATGCCTGCCCCTAGTCCTATTCTTGAAAAGCTATGTGGAATCAGTGGATGGACCTAACCCTTGGCCTATCTAGCCTTATGGCTGCTAGGCCAGTGACAGGACACATCTCATCACCACCCCAGCTCTGCTTGCCTGACTCTGGTTTGGTGGACTGCACCCTGTTGGCGAGGTCATTGCCCAGCCTGCAACCGTTTCTGGCTCACCTCCCAGAAGGGAAAAGTCCTGCCCTTGCTACTCCCTCACACTTGCAAAAACTTCACACAATCCTTTGTCCTGATAATACAGAAACTCTTCCTTTTCAGTGTTATCATTTCTCCAAGGCATCAACAGAAGGTCAGTAGCCTCCTGAGTAGTCTCACTTTAGGGGAGTGATGAGAGACAACTCATTTCCCACCAGACATAACTCTTAAATCACAGCGATTATCAGAGATAATGATTTGATTTGGGTTGTCTGAGTTCATGTTCTTTGGCAGAAAACAAGTGTAATGTCACTAGTGACAGAGTTCATTCCTACAACAGCTGGTTTCCTGATGATGACCCCACAAACCAGTGTTTTCCTGGGTTTTGTTTTCACAACATGACGGCTTGCTATAACTTAGTACTGTAGGACACACAGACTTAAATCTTTATTTCTCTTTGGATGTCTTTTGGATGAGAACCCTCACTTCTGGAACCAGCAACTGAGCTTGGTTAAAACGAATGCCAGAGTTCAGTAGTACAACAAGAATCAGCTGGAGTTAGGAAACACACCTTTTGTGAGGAAGTGGTTTGTCATCAGACTCTAAAACAATATTACTGGGGGGGAAGAAATCAATCTTTTTGTTCTGTCCCTGCAATGTATTTTTTAACCCAGTTTTGAAGGCAGCACATATACCACAAACAGAGTGCTATAATCCCATTTAGAAAACTGACGATTAAATTCCAAGTGATGAAAGTGACATGTTTTAAAGGAGGTGATGGAGCAGTGTAAATTCTCTAGGGCAGGTATGAAATTCCAGCCAACAAAGGTACAAGAATTCTTGGTGTTAAAGGTAGAGTTCCTTCTCAAGATCTGTGAGGATCTAATCCTGGCAATGAAATTACTAGCCTGGATTAAAGCTATGATGTGTCATAGTTATTTTGAGGCTTTGGAACATTGACTCCAAATGCAAACACCAAAACACATATTGCTATTATGAAGCCCTGAATTAACAAGTTGAAATAGAAATACTGTGAGGTGCTTGCCTGAGAAAAATGAGACCAAGTGCTGTATGTCTTTGTCTATAGCAAATTTAAAGCAGACAACACTAATCTTACAAGTACTTAAAAGGGATCTTACAGACTGCTCCAATTTGTTGGTGAATCAACCTTCTTTCCTATGGCCATCTAAAATGCTAGTGTGGTAATTTAACAAGGTCTTGAGCTTGGAAGCATTCATGGTTAGATGTCATGAAGTATTACATTCCAGTATACTGAACGCTGTTCAGGTTTTCTGAAAAGGTGAAGGCTTTACTTAAAACTGACCCAGGATGCCTACAGGATCTCTGGGACCAAAGCTTACCTTCATGTTCTAATAATCTGTATTGCCTGAGGCATTAAGCCTCCAAAGGCTCCTGGGACAACCTGTATTTTCAGTGCTAAAGCCATTTGCATGTGCCATGCAAATTTGAGTGCTGGACTCCTCCATTCTCTTAGAGAGCTTTTATTTTTCAATATATATATATAAATATACATATATATATGCTGTATGTTAAGATCTTCTATATTTCCAGGCTAAAACCAACTTCAAGCTGAAACTTTATAACTCAATTACAAATTCTGACAGCAATGTACCTAGAACTCCAGCAGTACTAAGAAGGTCAAGCCACACTTGCAGACCTGTCCATATGCCTGAACATTAGAACTGTCCACTCCTTATATCCAGAATTATGGTTGGTGCCCAAAGATAGGATGCATTTTGCAACTAAATACTCCAATTTTCTTATTTCTGTGACATGCAGCTCACCCAAAAAATCTATGAATACTGCCAGCCAATTCAGTGCTATGAGATTAAGAGCTGACAGAGTGCTGAAAAGTAAAAGCTGTATGGAGCTTATAACATTCAGAAAGGCATACATTTTTTCCTGTACCTCTTTAAGCATTAAAAACAATTATTTCACTTTAATACTCCCCTTCATATTATTACTTTAATATTAATGATCAGTTGCAGAAAAGTCATGCAAATCTATACTATATAATTACAAATTGAAATGTCAGCAAGATAGAACATACCAACAACACATCTTCAACATCTGGATAGCTGCAGCCAAGAGAGAGAATTTTTCTTTGTTTCAGCTGGTTTTGTACCGCATAGCAGTAAATACTTACTGTATTTTCTAATCACATATATAATCTCCTTGTTGTTTGTTTCAGTATTTTACACAATAAGAAACATTTTTGTAAAATAAAAAAATATTTTTGATAAGTAGCATAAAAGAAACAATAGAAACTATCCCAGCATACAAAAATTATTTTAAAAATAATAAAAAAAAGATTCTCTGTAACTGTTACTTTCAACACTTATATTATCAATTTTAAAATAACAATAATAAAAAATTACATTCCATGTATTTTATGTCTACACTCACTTGCTGGTAGCTTGAGTTCCTTTGAATGTTTCTGCAGAAAATTTTTTGGAGATGGCACTACAACTTTTGCTGGTCCCATAGTTTTCCACTGAGCTTTGTTTTTCTCTGCTTCGCACTTCACAGATGGTCTATATATGGATACATACCTTAAACATTAAAAAATAGCCATAAAGAAGTTAAGGGTCAGAAAATTATTAAAAGTCGTCTCAAAAGAATGCATATTTTTGCAATAGTTCATGCCAAAAGCTGTAAGCTATTTTGTTTTGTAGTCTCTCCCAAATAAAGGCCATCACTCATACAACTTTCATACTAAGGCTAAGCCCAGGACTGCACTGACAAGTGGCTTCTTTGATTCTGAAGTCAGCTTGCTTCTTCCTCCTTCTCGCGTCTCCAGGGTCAGTAATATCACACTTATGGAATGGTTCCTGTATGCACTGTTCATATAGGTACCGAAACAGACATTTGAAACTCAACAAAACCTAAATTCTGGAAATAAACTGCTTTGACTATTGCTTGCATGACTTAATTTTGATGTTGTGCATTACAAACTTTGGTCTTTATTTTCTAATACACTCAATTTTGAGAAGTTTTTTTTAATGTGGGTATTTGTTCTGTCCAAAACCACAACCAAAATATAAAGATGTTGTGCATCTACAGGAAAATAATAATAATGAACCTACTTTGCTAATTTTCTGTACTTGTTTGTAGTATGAAAAAAGTATCTCATTACTGACTGTCCACTGTATCATTGTCTCAATGTTCCTGTTGAACCGTCTCTAAAATAGCCCAGCAAACTGTGTATTTCTTCTATTAAATAGATTCAAACTATGGTCCTGAGCTATTGTAATCAGCGGTGGGTTTGGCACAAACTGAAACGGCTAATGTGAAAATTGGTAAGGCCTCAGACATGAAAAGATGTACACATGCAGTAAGCACACGCTGCTCTTTTCATTTAGTGTTGCATATGGCACTGTAACTTCTACTTTAATCAAAAGCATGCAGACGTGTTCCCCAAAAGAAGCCAAATGCTGATCATTAGCTTGCTAACAGCATCTTGAATCTATCTGAAGGACTGAGCTGTCACAGATGTTTTTCTTAGGGAGCAGAACTTCCTGCTCCTAAGGCTAAGGCTACCTCATTGTACCTTTTAAAATCTGCCCATCTTTAGGTAAAATGTGAGATTAATTTATGGAGGGCAAAAGCTGATGAACAATTGTGCTTTTCTTTCACAGAAAAAAAAATGTGTTTATGAAAAAAAAAATCATGTTTTCATGTAAGGAAAAAAAATCCATAGTACAACCTATCTTACACAAGTAATGAAACAGTTTGTAAGAAACAGTGTAATGATGAGCTAGTGAATGGGGAATCATATTAGCAACAGTGATAAAAGGTTTCGTATGTTAGCTGCAAATGTCCAATGGATGTATTTGTATTGGACTTACTGAAAATGCGGAGTAATGTTGTCTTATGGAGATTTGGTGTCCAAAGTCAGAAAGAGGATTATGTACATAATATATATATAATTCCAGAAATACCTCTAATTATAAGGAATGAGATTTTATTTGTTTGGGCTTTTTTTTTTTTTCTGTTAAGTTCCTGGTAAACAGCTATAGACATAGGCACAAACCCCCCACATTCATAAATCATTACACTTCTCACCATTTGCTAGGGTTGCATTGTAGCCACACAGTAGAGAAAGGTAGTGACTTCATGAGGAGTTTGACCTACCAGGGTTGACACAGCCTTGGAATGCAAAAGGGAATGAGAAGATATTCAGTTTACTACATATTGGCATACGGTAAAGGTGTCTTTGTAGACAGCTACAGGCATTCCTTTGGACAAAGGGATGTAGCAGTTGTAACTTCTCAGTGACTTCTTAGGCCAAGAAAGCGGCTAAATGTTGTCATACACCACTATCATAGGGTTAGAGAGTGTTGACAGGAAGAAAACATGATTATGGGGGACTTCAGAACCTTAACCCACTTATTATATGCCAAGGGGAAAAAAGACTTACTCTTCTAGGTGGCAGCTTGGGACATCAAAGTTGGGGTAATGGGGATGTTTGCTGTGGTTTCATTAGTAGCGTGAAACTGGCCAGTTCAGAGTGAAACATATATGATTTTTTTTTTATTATTTTTCTTAAAACCCTAAATTCTGTATGCATTAGTTGAAACTGGTCAGATCACACTATTAACCAGGTTCAACACTGTTGTTACCAGCTGGATATTGGGCACATTGTGAAGCAAAGCCGAAAGTGGGATGACAACAGAAGTCAATGAGATCAGAAGGGGATTTAGTCAGATTGTACCCAACCTAAGGAATCTCTTGCCTAAACTGAACCTGATGGTCATGGAGTCTCCAAATCCCTGAATAGGATTAGGACAGGAGTGGATTTAGTGTGCTGTGTGCCTTGCCATACTGTCATTTCGCTTTCCTCTGCCTGCCAAAGGCATCTTTCATTTACATTGGAAACAAAAAAAGATGTACGAGCTATTTTTACATGGAAAAGGTTCATAACTGAGAATCTCACAAGTCTGAACCCTTTTACTTGAAAGGGGATAATTATCTTTGTTCTAACGAGTGTCACTGATATTTCTACTCATCTTCAAGCTATTATGACCTACTTTAAACTTTCTCTGAAAATGCTAACTGTAACAGCTTTGTTTCATATAATGTAATAGGGACTTGGGAAAACATGTTTCCATAATATCAAATAAGAATTTTACCAAAGCTCTCAAAAGAATTAATACTAGAGGGGGCAAAAGGCTTTTTAAAAATATTTCTAAGGTAAGAAAGATTTATGTTTGATGCTGATTCTATGTTTGCAAGGGGTAAGAAAGAGAAGCAAAGCAGCAATGTCAGAAGAGACACCTAACACATGAAAGGAATGAAAGAGTGACACTGAAAAAAAAAATAAATTTAAAAAGCCAACTTTTCAGCTGCTCACTGAAAAAAATTGTGTGTGAGTGACAAGGATGTCATGTAATTCCCCTGTGTGGACAGAGTGCTTTGCAAATTCTTTGTCAATGAATAAGATGGCATTCACCAAACTGAATCATCAGCTCACGGAGCAGGCTGTAAATCTGCAGATGTTTGTTAGTGACTCATTGGGAGGAGCAATAAGTGTGCAAAGACTAGTTTGGTTTCCTTAAACTACCTGTTACCAGTGAGAAGCATTGCCTTCCCAACACAAGTCACCCTGTGTGCAAATGGCACTGCGGTACCCACCTACCTGGGAGGTTTGACAGGCTTCTCCTCCAGGAGGGGCAGGAGGTTACTAATACTCTCCTCGGCATACGGCTTCTTCGCCCTGTGGCCGGACACAGAGAAGCGCCCACCTGGCGGGGGGGACCCGAACATGGGGACCCCGCTAGCGTCCCCTCGCCGTTCGCAGCTCCCGGACGCCGCTCCTCGGCCTCCTCCACACGGGCCGACACGCTTGTTGTCTCGCTGTTACCGGGGAAACCGCTGCTAGGCAACAGCGCCATGAGGGGGCGGAACCTACGCCACCACGCTTCCGCCTCTCCCCCGGCGGCAGGCGCTAGGGCCAGCGAAACAGCGCAGGCGCACCAACTCCGAGCAGCGCCCGGCCCCGCGCAGGCGCAACTCGCGAAGTGAGGCCGGCAGCGCAGAATCCAGGGGCGCCGGGCGGCCTGAATGCGCCTGCGTCAAGGCTGAGGGCGGGGTCGCGGCTGGGGGGGGGGGGGGCGGGTCCGGCAGATGTCTGCGCGTGCGCGTGGAGGGGAGTGGGGAAGGAGAGGCTGGGGGCGGGCAGGCACGGTACCTGTGGCAGCTGGTTACTGCCTGTGCAGGTAGGTACGGGAGCGAGGCCGAGCCGAGCCGAGCCGAGCCGAGCCGAGCCGAGCCGAGCCTGCAGGGCTGCTGCTCCCGACGGGAGGTGGGAGTCCGGGGTGCGGTTGGCCGGGTGGGAGGGTACGACTGACCCGGCTCTGTGGTGCCACCTTTCTGCCGTGCGGCGTGGCGCGGCCCGGTCGCTTCCTCCCATCGCACTTTTGACGCCTTCGGGGCCTCAGAACAGTGCAGGAGCTTGGTCTGTGGGATGGGTGAAGTTGAGTGGTTTGCTTTGGGATTTAGGTGTGGTTTTTTTTTTTCTCTACATAAAAGTTCTGAGAGAAGTCAATGGAAGTTGTCCCGTGTTAACAGATTTGAACTACGGTAATTATAAGCCTTGACCTACCTTGAGGTCTTTGGCAGCTGCAAACTGCCACTGGCTTGTTTGGTTACTGAATTCGAATCACATGTTGTGTTGTTGCAAACTTTGTGTCTATACCAATAGCCTGCCTAAAATGAAAAAATTACTCTAAGGGTTTTCTGTGCAAATTCGTGCTTATTTCACCCCCCTCTTCTTCCTGATTTTCATGGAGATTTTGCCTGAAACATCGCACACCAATCATGTGTTGCAGTTCGTGCTGATAGACATTGATTTCTCTAAGCAAACAGTACAGTATTGAGAGCTGCTTGCTTAAACTTTGTTGGAGATCCAACTTTTGTAGTGACCTTTTTTGTTTGTTTTAAGGGTAGAGTGTCTTCATGATGTGTTTTTTCTCTCTCTCTCCTGCTTTACACAAACCACACTCAGTATAATGCTATTACAGGAGCTCTTCACAAATCACTTGGTTTGCCATCCCTCCAGAGGCGAATTGGATGCAACTCTTCCAGCCTTGCTGTGCACAAGCCTCTGCTTTTTCTGTGTATTTAAGTGAGTCATGCATTTTATTCTTTTTAGAAACAAGTATAAGAAATCAGTGGTATGTTGGGAAGGCGGATGCATATTTTGTTAACATTTTGCTTATGAGAAGGTAATTTAGTTCATTTTTGTTATTTGTAAATGTGTTTGTTGCCCCAGGAAGTTGTGAATACTCCATCCATGGCAGTGTTCAAGGCCAGGTTGGATGGAGTCTTGGGTGGCACAGTGCAAGGTGTCCTTGCCCATGGCTGGGGGGTTGGAACTAGATGATCTTAAGGTCCTTTCCAACCCTAACTAGTCTATGAGTCTTAAAAGTAAGTCTATGAAAGGAAAAACTGATTGGTTTTGAATTCCTTTAAACATTATTATTTGCAAACAGTTGTGTCATCTTAGGTTTGGATGTCTTTGTTTACCCTGAGAACATGGACTGCTTGAGGTTAGATTTGACAGTGGAAGTGAGCTATGCAGGAGAGGGGAATGAGTCTCACTATGAAAAATACCTCCCTGGCACTGATGAAATCAAAACTGGATTTATGTTTGCATTCTTCTTGTTCTGAATTTCCTGTCGTTTAGGCTTTTTTTCCCAGATGTTTGCTGAACGGCTAATGCTGTCTTTTTTCTTTTTGAAGCAGTTAAGTGGATTATCAAGTTGGCTTGAAAAAAAGCCAAAGCAAAAACTCTCCACAGCCCAGCAGAAGATGTTTCAAGTTGTTCAATATCAGCCTTTAAGACTAATAACCCAAACCAGTCTTTCTAGCATGTGTTTAAAACTGATGCCTTCAAGACCTGTTGCCTTTGCACAGATATGGAAGTCACGGTTCTCAAGCTATTCTCTTGTTGGAAACAAAAATATTATCCTGATGGGAGCTCCGGGTGCTGGGAAGACAACTGTTGGGAGAATAGTAGGTCAGAAACTAGGTTGCCCTGTCATAGACATAGATGATGATGTCCTTGAAACAACCTGGAATATGAGTGTGTCGGAAAAACTTCAGGATGTTGGTAATGAGCAATTTTTAGAGGAGGAAGGAAAAGCCCTGTTGGAGTTCTCAGCATCTGGAAGTGTCATTTCCCTTACTGGGTCCAATCCAATGCATGCTGCTGGCATGCAGCATGTGAAGAAAAATGGAATAGTTGTTTATCTGGATGTACCCACCACAGTCATTATGAGCAGGCTGAAGTCAATGAAAGTGGATCGCATTGTGGGCCAGTCTCCTAGTGTTTCTCTCAAGGACATACTTCAGTTTAGGAAGCAGTTCTACAGGAGGTGGTGTGACATCCGTGTTCTTTGTGGAGGGGATATTACAGCAGAGGTTGCAGCAGAAAAGGTACTTGATGCTGTGAAGAGATACCAAAACTCAGAACTGGAAACGTTCATTTCAACTAGGTCTAGTAGGTCTGGAAGGAGTATGGAAAAAGACGTTGATAAATACTTCAGTGATGTTGTTACGCAGGGCTTAGCCTCTGATGGAGGACTTTTTGTTCCTGAGAAAGGACTTCCAAAATTCACTGCTGGAGAATGGCAGAGCCTAATAGAAGCAACTTATGTTGAAAGAGCCCAGGTGATACTAGAAAGATGTATACATCCTGCTGATATTCCTGCTTCTAAGCTGGCAGAAATTATTGAAACTGCTTATGGAGAAAACTTTGCATGTTCTAAAATTGCCCCAGTCAGGCATCTGACAGGCAATCAGTTTCTCCTTGAGTTATTTCATGGGCCAACAGCATCATTTAAAGATTTTGCATTACAGCTAGTGCCACATATATTTGCATACTGCATTCCCAGAAGCTGCAATTACTTGATTCTGGTAGCCACTTCTGGTGACACAGGAAGTGCTGTCCTAGATGGCTTTAGTCGTCTCCATGACACTGACAGACAGAGAATTGCTGTGATGATTTTTTTTCCTGAGGATGGAGTAAGCCCAATTCAAAAATCACAGATGATTGGCTGTCAGAAGGAAAATGCCTTGTCAGTAGGTGTCAAATCTGATTTTGATTTTTGCCAGACGGCTATAAAGCAAATCTTTACTAATTCTGATTATACTGGCTTTCTTACAGTAGAATATGGAACAGCTTTAGCTGCAGCAAACTCCATAAACTGGGCACGACTGCTTCCTCAGATAGTTTATCATGCCTCTGCATACCTTGACCTTGTTCATCAAGATGTTATTCCTTTTGGAAGCCCTGTAGATGTTTGCATTCCTACAGGAAATTTTGGCAACATACTCTCTGCTTTGTATGCTAAAATGATGGGAATTCCTATTAGAAAATGTATTTGTGCGTCCAATGAAAATAATGTTTTGACCGACTTCATAAGGACAGGTGTTTATGATTTGAGGGGAAGAAAACTAATCCCCACTTTTTCACCAGCAGTAGATATTTTGAAGTCCTCCAATCTTGAGCGATACTTGCACCTGATTGCTAATGAGGATGGACAGCTGGTGACACAATTATATAACCAGCTGGAAAATCAGGGCCACTTCCAGCTGCAGGAAGATCTACTCAAAAAGCTTCAGCAAGACCTTGTGGCTGGATGGTGCTCTGAGGAAGACTGCCTGGCTGCCATTCACTCTGTGTACAGTACTACAGGGTATATTTTGGATACACACACAGCTATCGCTAAAGTAGTTGCAGATAGATTACAAGACAGAACCTGCCCAATTATTATTTCATCTACAGCTCATTATTCTAAGTTTGCACCTGCTATCTTGAGGGCCTTGAAGATTGCAGAAATAAACCAGAATCCATTAAGTCAGCTTCACTTGCTGAGTTCTTACAGCCCTCTCCCTCCAGTCCACTGGGGCCTGTTAGAGACCCTGAAAAAAAAGGGTAACGAAGATTACCAGGTCTGTGCTGCTGATATGAGTATGCTGATGTCCACTATAGAAACCTTAATTCAGAATCATTTTATGAGAGTGCACTGAGCAACTGATCAGGTGTCCATGGTGTCAGTTGTGATGCCTACTTAGCAAGCCGCATGTCTTAACAAAGTGATGATTTGCCTGGCCTGTGTCCAGTCCGCAGCACACCACCTGCAGTTTTATACTCTATTGTTGAGTTTTCAGCAGTGTTTTTAAGTAGCACGTGTAATGGTGAAAGGTTGTGAATTGAGAGTGTAAAAGACTGGAATACTTTTTTGCAGATCATACATAGCAGAGACACCAGTACTGCCAGCAGTGCTGTCTCCTTTGCAAGCCTGAAGCATCCTCCATGGAGGAAGGAAGATAATGAAGTCTGACCTTTCTAAAGCTAGTAACTCTTTCTTGTTGCAAGAGCAATGCAATTATTTGGTCAGTGGGTGATTAGTTACACTTTAACGCACATCACTTATGGCACCAAAACATAATAAGATGCTGTAATGATGTCCGATGTTATTAAACGAGGGTTGATTTCACTACAAAGATTGAAGTAGACTTGTATTGTTAGTCCTTGAACCATTCAGTTTGGTGGTATGTTATCTTGTATGTTTTTTATGTCTTGTGAGGCCAGTGTTTATGTAAAAAAAAAAAAAAAAATCCCCCTGATATTTTCCTGTGTGAAATAGAATCCTTCATTTGAAATTTTTAGTATTTTTTGAGGTGTAACTCTTCTTCCAGTGCGTTGTAGTCTTTTCCTTAGATCTTTTTCTATTTGAATTTTCAACTTCAGAGTCCTTTGTTAATGCTAGAGAAGAATTTTCTGGTAGTAGCTGCAGTCTCCTTAAGTAAAAACCAGACTTCACTGTCTATTTACATTTCTTTCTTGTATTCTGAGTTTTTAGAAGATAAGATTTATCTTTGAGGTCATGTAGTTTGCTTGTTCTAATTCCATTTTTATATTTTCTCTTAAATTAATTCCCTTGACATTCTATTATGTTCATGCTTAGCATGAATTAGTGTAAGAAAGAATCTTCCCGAAGTGCTTGGCATCTCATCAAGGGAAGTGAAAGATGAATTCCAGTGTTTGGAAAGCATGATAGCATCAGAGGTATTAATTGTGTTACCTAAAATAGACCTATGTTAGCAATCTGGTTTTGCTAATGACAGGCTCTTTATTGGTTTTTGGGGTTTTATTTTGCATCACAGAAAAATAGAGCAAGTTGTCCTAGGTGATCCTGTGGTAATAGACAAATGTACTCTGCTAAATGTAGATTATATTTGGCAAGGACATAAAATAATAGCTAGATTTCACACTAAGAGAAATGTCGAAGTGGTATGTGGGCAAGTTTTGAATGACGTGCAGTTACAGGTACAGAGCTAAGAGCCATCAGATGTGAGGACGTAATAGCTGTGGGAGGCTGTATTTCCCACCAAGATTCAAATAGGGAGATTATTACCAAGAGAGGTGGTAACTGATAATGTCTTTTGCCTTTTTGAGAGGCAACATCTCCTAGATGTCAGGACTCACTTGAAGCTTTGAACTGTTGCCATAGCCACCAGCTTCCTCTGTGTGTCTGCTTGTACTTTTCGCTACATTAGAGGTGAAGAAGACACCATCTAGCAAACTTTTATAGAATTGTCATTTCTTGTAATGTAAGGTAGAAGACCCAAGTGTGATGTGCATTTGCCATAGTGAGTACATTATACAATAAAATCAAAAGTAACTGATAACAAAAGTGTGATACAGTAGCTGTCTAGATTCTGCCGTTTTTTGATGTCTTTTTAGGATCTTTCTAATTCTTTTCTCTGCTTAATCCTTGTTTGCTATTTCCGCAGTAACCTTGGAAAATAAGTTTTTTGTTTTCACAGACTCATAGAGCAGCCCAGGTTGGAAGGGACCTCAAAACATCATTGGGTCCTACTTTTCATGGGAATGGCAGCCTAGATGAAATTACCTAGTAGCCTGCCCAATCAGGTCTTAAAAACCTCCAGTGATGGGGACTCTTAACACATCCCTGAGGAGGTTGTTCCAGTGACTGAGTGCTTTCACTTGTTTGTCTTATGATGAATCTTCTTGTGGTGCAACTTGTACCCAGTTCCCCTTGTTGTGTCCATGTGGCTCCTTGCAAAGAGAGAGCCTCCATTCACTTTCTAGCCCCCATTTAAGTACTGAAAAACTGTGATGAGGTGCCCCCTGATCCTCCTAACTCACTCAATCTCTCCTCATAGGGAAGAGGAATTTTTGTAATTTTCCAACCACAGCATGAGAAAGACCATAAATATGTAATAATAAAAAAAAAAACCCTCAAAATATAATCTGAGTTCTTTAAAAAAGATTGCATAAACACATTGCCAAAAAACCACATGGCTTGTGTAGGTGGTAAGTGCACGTCCACCTTGTGTTTCTATGTTTCAGACTGATTCTCACAGTAGTTCCAAGTGGAGAAAGGTGTAATTTCCCTGAATGTGCTCAGTACAAAACCAGAATTATAAATATTAAACAGGTAAACAAAACAAAATAAAACAAACAAAAACCCCCAAACATACCCAACTGTCCTGACAGAATTACTGCAACAGAAATTGGTTTCAGCATGAGGATTCTGGAAATCCTGTAGTACCTGGTTCAGTGGGGCTTAATACCATTTGATGTCACAGGGCAATTTGTCACATGCTGTCAGGATACTTTATAGAAATATCTACAAAGAAGAGCTTGTTTTCCTAGAACGTACCTAAAAGAGAAAAACTCAGATTCTAAAAGGCTAGGCTAGAAGCCAGAATTCTACCTTGAGTTAGCTCATTATTAGATAAACCAGCCAGAACTAAACAAGCAGAGGATTTATTATGCCATGCCTCAAATGATATTTCAAAGTCTGTGGCAGTAACTCAAGGTTGGTTTGAAGGAAAAAGTGCTAGCAAAATTTCTAGTGCTATTTTCCATTACAGCAGTTGATATGAGTTGAGTAAGTAAGTTGTTCTTAGTTACAGTTTTCACTGTATATTTGGTTTACAAAGGTAGTGGTTAAAGAGTACCTGTGGTATTAGTATATTTCCCAGAATGCCTAAGGGCTTTTTCAATACAGTATCTACTGATTTTAAAAAATAATTAATTAATTTCTGCACTTTCTTATGACTTCAGTGAACTACTTTTGTGCACCACATCTGCTTGTGGATTCTAGTAATGGGCAGTATAAAAGCTGCAGTAACGTGATCCTAGATGTACACAGTATTTGTGACCAGGTGCTTCTGCTGTGTTGTGGTAGCTGTAACGTACAGTCTCTCTGGCTTGCCTTGTCCTGCTGTGCCTGGAGGAATGGAAGGGAAGGAGGGAGTTTCAGGTATACTCGGTGTAGCTGGCTGCTGGGGGCATAGGATAGTGAGGGAAGCAGTCCTGCCTTCACAGCTCAGTTTTTGTGAAAGTCAGCAAAATGCTGTGGTCAACAAATACTATATTCCTGTTACACTTTTTCCCCTGCTCTATCACTATTATGGAAGATTCAAAGGGCATTAATGATTAAGATTGGACACAAGTGCCAGTTTTTTGTCTTTTGCAGACATTGTGTACACCGAATGTTGTCATGCAGTATTTTCTGTTAACTTCTTAGGGCAAAATGGTGTGCTAATGATATACAAAAGCAAATCTACATTAGAATTATTAACAAGATTCTTTATGCCATTCAGGCTTGATGTATACACATTTTGTTCTTATTTGTCCGAAGGTAGGATTTTGCAGTCTAAATCAATATAAGCCAGGTTTACACAGAGTGTGGGCATGCATACGGACGCATTTCCACCGGCTTTGTTGACCTGCAGTAATAGCGTAGCTATAGTTAAGCTGTTATTCTTCTGTATAGATAAATATTTGCTGGACACTGATACTACATGAATAAAACTTAAGGACAAATGAAATGTCTATATTTGCACTTTTTATTATAAGAATATTTAGATGGAAAATATTTTTGTTTTGCTTACAGATTTGCCAGCTGCTCATTACTTGCCTTTAGTCACAGTCCTGCTTCTCAGGGTGGCAGAGATTGATTTGAGATTAAGGGGGAATAGAGCAGTTAGGGATGACTGCAGAAGATAATTCTGTTTTTTCTTATTATGTAGCAACTTAGAATTGTTATTTCTGTTTTTGAGGTGATGAAATATTTTAGCAAACAGCTCTAAAGGGAAGATTCTTGTTTTTCAGGAGGTCAACCTTGCTCTTCAAGGACGTCAAGAACACATTGTTATTAAGTATATCATGTTTGGCATGCCTGAAATATGCATTAGTCATTTGTATCCACTATATTTTTAGTAAATAAATACTGTGGGATCCATCCTGTAGCGCTTTTCATTGCAAATATGTTCCTAAATCCTTATCAATTTGATACCACTAAAAGGAGTGGTTTCAGATTTTGATAGTAAATCTTGAAAGAGGTGATCTGTGTTTACTTGAAAATTAGGTGTATAGTAAATGATCTAGTAATTCACTTTGCTGAGATTGACAGATGTTTACATCATGTACATCATCCTGGAAGGAAAGTATGTATAAAAAAATAAACCCTCTTCAATCATAGCAAATGTCTAAGCATTCTGTTTATGTTGTACCACAGACTTGTCTGGTGCTGCACAGAAAGTCTGTATTCTGGGGAATTAATATGGAAAAGGAAGTCTCTGACAGTTTAAGCTTTCTTAGTCATGTTTAGTTCAGCGGAGGGATGAGCTGGTTGCAGCGCAACTTTGTTTCAGTTGGAATATGATTTCAGGATCATAGGTTTAAAAATTACTTTCCAAAGTAACTTTTGAATGACTTAAATATATTTAAGTTAATTATTTAATTTCTTAAATTAATAAACAATAAGAAATGAGTACTTCATTTCAGTGAATTAACGTGAACAAACAGTTAATCCTGGACATGTACGAGCAGCTTGAGGGGAATTTGAATGTTCTGTATTTTTCACAGTAGTCTTAAATATGCTCAGCACAGTTATTGGAACTGGGAAGCTGTCGCTTCAACAATTCAGAATGCAGCAATCTAAAAAGACATCAGTCTTGGGCTTGCTCTCCAATTTAGGTAAAACTTCTGGCATGGAGGTAGATCTATACTGTTTGTGCCTTTTACATGATAACATTTTATTCCCTGGTAACTGTTTAAGCTGATCCTTGGCTTCTTTCATAACAGCACAGGAAATAAAATATTTAATACGATAATTGTTCAGCAGAATTAAGAAAATGCCTGATTTACTTGCTTGTGTACAATACCATAGAACATCTAACCAGACAGAAATCACACTGTTTTTCCTGTGCAACACAAGAGCACTTTTCATTAAAAGCGTATCTCAAACTTCATAAAATTGGTTACATAGCACAGGAATTGTTGCTCTATGATTTTATTTAGATCTTTCATCACTGGTACTTGAAATACCCTTAAACTCTCAAATAGTTTATTTTTTTTTTTAAATAAGTTATTGCTATAGCAACATGCAGTGAATCACCCCCAGATTTAAAATTCATCATGACACTAATTGAGTATGTCAAAATGTATATCTGAAAAGACAGCTGTGACTGAACAGTTTTGTTACCTGAGTTGACACATGAATTGGTTCTTAACTGAGTGTTTAGCACAAAAGGAAATTTAAAAAAAAGGCTGCACACATCTGTGGTGCCTCAAAACTTAAATACTAAGGAGCCACTTAAAGAGGGTAAGGTGAATTGCTTGGTTGGGAGCTGTAAGCAGTCTGTGTTTCACTGTGGCCTAAAGTGGCCTAAAGCAGACCTATGTGTCTAGGAGCAGAGGATTGAGAACATAGTTAGCAAGTAGAACTATTTGCTGTAGGAAATGCTGACTTTGACCAGTGTCTGGAGATGTGCACACTTAACTGAACATGAATTTTCAGCATGACTTGTGGCCGAAAGAACCAGTGAGATCCTCAGGTTTAGAAATGGGAATACTGTCGGGGAAGTAATACTGCTGTCATATTTAATTTTGGTGTAACCTTTTCGAAGAAGACTGTGCCCAACTCCAACAGTCACAATTTCCAGTAATGCTGGGAAATTGGACAGAAGAGAGTCATGAGAGCAATAAAAGGATTAAAAAGAATCAATGACTTGAGAGTCTCAATAAGCAGAATCTATTTAGTTTAGTGAAGGTAGAGAGCGTAGAAGAACCATCTTTGGAGCAAAAATTTTATAATAAAGGTCTGTTCCATCTAGCAGAGAAAATCATCCAAGATTGTAAGTAAAAGCTGGACACGTTTCAAGAGGAGATAAAGGCATATAAGAGAATGGTAAAGGTTGCTCTAGTCTGGATGTGTTAGATAATTTCTTAAAAAGATATGATTTGATAGAAGGAAGACTAAATCAGATCCGCTATGCAAGAGGTCAAACTAAATAATCCCGGCAGTCCCATTTGGCTTCCACAGGAGTAACTTGCATGCAAACAGAAGTATGAGCAGTATTTGGCA